CCTGCATCATTCATCCTTGTCCCATCGCCCTAATGCCACATCCTATATATCCACGCATCTCATCCAGACCATATCCAATCTGGTCTGATCCGATGTATAGATCCGTTTCCTATCCGATATACGATAAGCTTTGTAATTCATTTCCTGTGCATATAACATTAACACAGCCTATCCGGTATTCCTTGTTACCAGTACCTTGGTTATATCTATTACCAGTATGCTTACTGATTCATTAACCTATGTTCATTTCTGACTCACATTTGTCAACCTTTGCATATGCTTTATACATAGCCTCGGACTCTGCTTATTGATCCTTCCGTTATTTCTGTTAGTATATAAACTTGTGTATATGTCTTGTAGTACCTCAGTCTGAATATCATATTAGTCCTCGCACTAGTCTTCACTCTAAGTCCTCATATCAGTTCTAGTCTTCCAACTTAGTTGTTATCCATCTCAGGCCTAGGGAGTTTCTCCCTAGGCCGGAGCTCTGCTGATCTGATATTCCACTCATCCGCTCATCTGATCCTCCGTAGTTTCCGGAAGTTCATCCGGATCTTTCCCGCAGTCCTCCGGACCTATTCTGCTTCGGACTTTGTCCTTGCAGCCTTTCCTCTGTTTACTTCTACTCAGGACAAGTCCTGAGTAGCCATTATACATATCTGTATCAGGACGAAACCTCATCGTAATTTCCGGAAGTTCCTCCGGAACTTTCCCACACTCATCCGGAAGTTACTTGCACCCGTCTGGAAAGTCCTTCCGAAGTTTCCTGCGCCTTCGGACGTCTTTGGACTTTCCTCAGACACCAATCTGAAATTAAGGGCACATACTCGGGTAAGGCGCAGCGCACGAGCTGAAGCCAAGCCCCTCAGAATCAGTCCTACCCTTTGTGCATGGTCTTAACACTCTCAAACCACCAGTCTGCAGGGCTGCCGGTGGAGCACTATAATGAGAATCGTTCGATTTTCCACACGTCAGTCGAGTCATTTGGTAAAATGTGTTTGAATTGTTGAATCCAAATATGAGGCTCCTCCTTGTGCTCATAGTCTCCATGGAACAGTGGCAGTATAGGAATAATAGACATGTTTAGACAACTTTGAGTACTTGCAAGGTCCACAGTTGGAAACAAAGGAATTCAGAGTATGAATGTCACGATGAGCGAGCTGAACGGAGTGTCCCTGTCAAACAGAACACATGAGAGATGTACAGAACAGAAGATGCGCTCACTCTAGTCACCAGGTGGAGAGGGCCACACTAGCAAGCTAAGAGACAAGCAAACCAACCAAGCAACAGCTGGTGGTGATGGACTGAAGATCTAACCCTACAGGAACATGGCTCTATCTATGGACTACTGGACCTCTGACACCCCTGGCTGATGCCCCTGAGGCCAAACCCTCCTACTACACCAGTCAAAAACCGGTTGAGGACTGCAAAAGACCAAAAATATCGGTCCAGGTCCAGTTGCCTCCAAATAAGGTCAAAAAACCGGACTGGACTGGACCTTAAAACACTACTCATATTGGCCATTGGCACAAACATTTCAAAGAAGTTGATTCTAGCACTGACTATTGGTGACAAGATGGGCACAAAGCTTCAGCTTCTTCCCATCAGGGCCACATTTTGTGGCTAGGACAAAATGACATGAGATGATGTTGATGCCTTGAGGTGCATCTACAGTGTCCTATATACCTAGTTTTTGAGCTGACTTATCTTGTAGTCTAGCTTTTTGCCATTTGACAGTATCTGGGCCTTTCAACACTTATTAGAGAGTTGGTTCTGTCTCTACTACCGCTAATGCCAGGTGAATGTGGGCTTCACGCACCTTGAGTGACTTTTCCTTTCTCTCTCCTTTGATCTTAACAAGATATCCCTTCCATTTTATTTCAAGATATTTTAAGAAATAGTTCTACAGGCTGACTCTTTGGATTGAATCACACTTACACCTTTGAGTTCTAAGGTAACAACTTTTGTAGTGCCTACACAGAATCAACTCTTTACAGGAGTATGTTGCAGTCTTGAAAGCCAAGGCTTTTAACTGGGCCAGAGATGTTATATGCACCATCTGCAGGTCAAACAAATGATATGAGAGTTTTAGAGATATGATCATTAGGGGAAACAAAAGAAATTGGTATAAAGATGAGGAAGGCAATTTCAAGCAGCTTCCAGTTGTTGAACTTTTGCTGGATGAAGTCATACAATAGGATTCAGCCTACATTATGCTGAACCATTTATGGACCCTCCACAAGGTAAAGCTTCCCCAACTAAACATCTCATCACATACTGATAGTCACCCAGCCTTTCAATAGGTTCCTTCAATAATCCCTGCTAGCAAAAAAGCTAAGTCTGGCGCAATGATATTTTCTGAAGGATCTCAAGGTAATTTTAGAGATCAGTATTAGGTTTGAGACTCATGATACACTCTACCATTTTATATTAGGTGTTGCATGCTGCTTAGCAAATTATGTTGAGTGAAAAGACTCCTGTGCTGAGTCTTGTGGTTCTAGCTTTCAAAAAGTTAATTGAGTAGTGGAAGGTGATTGCAACATTCATCCCACACTATACACCTCTCATTGAGATAGGTTTGACCTGGACAAATAAGTATGATGAACAAATAGGCACTACAAATGCATATGTCATGTTAATGTGTTAGTCTAGTGAATTTCTAACATTGCTTAATATCTCATGATTTTATAGTCATTAATCTGGCAATACAGATGTCATGAGTTTAAAATCATTGGGGTGAAGCCTGAAGTAATGCTGTCAAGATGTTTACACTTAATTTGATGCATCTAATTCATCTGTTTAAAGTTTGAACTAATCATTTGATATTTCCCAGATGCATGTCAAGAGTGCACAGTTAAAACCTATTGAATCTGTCTAGTCTCCACAGCAGCAGTCATACTCACTAGGCTCACAATATTATGGACTTCCTAATGTAAACATGCTACCAAGTGTCCATGGCCCAAATGATTGATCAAGAATTTGGGGTGTATACCATCAAATATACTTAGATTTTAGCAGGTGAGAGTCATGTGTTTCCTCAAGTTATATCTCTTATCATTGACCACTAGGTTTGCCAGGTTTCTGAGATAGTTTTTATAACTATATTCACTATTGCATTGGACTACCTACCTATATAGGCCTCCACTATTCCATACAAATAGGTCTTCTTTTCAAGTAGCGGAACCAATACCAAGAAATGGAATTATATCTCCCCAGTGCTGATGGAGGCCCTGCAGATCATCAAATTCTTTCTGAAAAAGGAGTGACTTAACTTTACTCAAAGTTGGGTAGCATCCTTAAAGGAGATGGAATTTCAGATGCTATTAGACAATTTTGATAATAACAATAAATGCCTGCTACTTGATACTGGCAGGGTTGCTGATAGTCATACTCATGATGCTCTGCTCAGAGTTATTACAGTCCAATGTTAACAGAATTATTCACATCATTTAGGGAACTCATTGGTGTCAGCTATGCATTAAGTTTAGAATTAGAATATATTATACCTTTGTGTGATCAATTAGAGGCTATGCTATAGCTTCTTCCCTTTTTGGCTTATGATTTTAAAATATATTTTATTTTATTTATTTCAGCTGACTTCAAGCCATTAACTCAACTTAACCATAGTGGTTTTAGCTGGGCTAAGCCATAAATTACGTAAACTACAATCACATGCTCTACTCAGCTATTCATGGCTGTGGCCACAGCTAAAACCAGCAGTAAGCTAGAGCTGTAGCAACACTAACACTGGTTATGAGATTGTGATTACAATGTCTAAAGCAAAAGACTTGGATTTTGAAGATGCTCTCACATTAGGAACTTCATCTTCAACTATCAAGTACTAGTATGGAAGTGTGCCACTTGTATTTCAAGAGGTAAAGAAGTCTTGCTTATGTGCTTCTTATATGAAGCTAGACAGTGTAAGTCTAGGAGACATATTAACAAGATAGTATGGATGATAAAACATATACATACCTTAGTAGGACAATGAAGAACTACTGAAGTAAACTGCATATGAGAAAGAAATTAAGTACAAAAAATCAAGAAGTCTAAGACTAAAAAAAGTGAATCTAAGATGGAGAGAAGTGACTGATAAAAGAGGACAACATAAGGTGTTGAAGGTGCTAAAAGTTAATGAGGATCAAGACAGGAAAAAGAAATTTATATAAGATCCCAGAGGTTAATCTTTTGTGACTTATACTATACGGACACACTCTTCTATTCTTATCACCAATACTCTTGTTTGAATTTCTTGCTTGGTGGTCTACAAATATGACATGAAATGGTAATAATCATAGTTAAAGGTTTGAATTATCAGTCTAGATGATAAGAAAGGATAGAAAAATAAAGACTTATATGTTGGTATCATTGCTTACTTAAGATTGCTGGTACCTATTTGTAATTTCCTCTCTTACACTCATACAAGACTTTGAAGGTCTATTTCTCTATCATCAATAATCACATCTGAGTCTACTTCAGAGTCATTAGCTTTAGCATCAACTTAAAGATTCCCCCTAGAATCTTGAAGTTCTTGGTTAGTATTATGAATAACTTATTTTGTCTGAAGAGCATCCAAATAACTAATGGGATCTTGCCTAGTTGCATTTTTGTTTTTCCTGAATTCAAACACTGGAGTTTGTTGATTAGATCATTATCATGTAGTCACTTTCCTCAACACTTATCTGTGCAATGATACCAGTAAAGAGTGTGTCTTATCCTTTGTGCAAATGCTGTTGTTATTCTAATGTTTAGTTCATCTTTGCTCTTATTATCACAGACAATTATTGGTACATCTTTGCATTTGTAGTCATCTGTATTTTTTGTGCAGGTGGTGATTACTCTTGTCTGCAAAAGGTAATAATTATCTAGGGTATATTTTCTTTAATACAGATGTGTGAAGGAGTTGATGAATTGTCTATTCTCTTGATCTAACTGACACATTATTTTCGTCAATAATATCACTGTGGTTGTTGATAGTCAGAGAAGCCTATCAAAGATACTTAGGTCAAAGTGAGTATATAATTGTTTGTGCTCATAGGTAGTAGCTGAGCAAAATCTCTAGTGAAGATACTGTCTATCACTCCAAATGGTGTCATGTTTCCTTTGGCATCAACTAGTGTGTTGTGAATTTTTGTCAGAAAATTGTAGCTTATCATGGACACTTCATCTATAAACAAGTAGTCAATTTCTTCCCACATTGTAGTGAAATTTCATTTCATTTTGGTGTTTGCTTCAGATGTATGTCTTTGATTCAATAAAAGTGGTCAATGTAGAGTCATACCTAAGATGTTTCATGCAGCCACACCCATGTATAAGATAAGTCTGAATGATTGTGCTTGGTTTCATTTTATGAAGAAGTCCTTCAGAGCATTGATAGCTTTTAATTTCTTGCTTCCAGCAGGTCCTCCAATAAATATTCTCAGAGGTTTGGTATTAAGAGTACAGTGGCTCAAAAAAGTGTCTCAATGTTTGTAACTTTTCATGTAATTGCTTTATTATGAGCCAGGGTGTGGGAATATGGCTAAACTGTAGAGAGGTGTCATAAAGCTATACTTCTTAGCCTCATTTAAGTTCCCTATAGCGTGGGAAGATGATATCATCATGTGCAGATATGGCTATTTTAATTTGGTGACTCATTGAGACACTTTTTGACTTTCAGTTTGATCAATACAATCTCTATAATTATGATACTTTATGTGACCTCCTGTTGCTCTAATCACTTCTGCCACTCTTCTAGATATGCCATCTATCAATTTTAAATATTTCTTCCTATGTCATGCATTCCTCATCTTGGTCACGGGATACAGTGTTTGCTATAGTTTACTTGTGGAGTATTTGTCTTCGCAGAGTCAGTTTTACTCCTTTTTCTCTAATGCCATGCTGGTCAATTCTTTCAGTGTCTAGGTCTTTGTTGTTGTTGTTTGAGTCGCGCCTCGATTCTGAGACATCTGACAAAAGCATGATGTTGCATTCGGCCCATGACTAATTCATCGGATTTCCTTCACACATCCCTTCTACGAGACCCCTCAAACTCGCCGATACACTTATATTATTTATTTGAAACTATTATTCATATTCTTTTGGTTTAAACGTCACGATACCTACAACCCCTAAAATGACTCACTATGTCTGACCCTAATGCCGCATCCTCTAAGGCCTTTAAGGTCTCGAAACTGGCAGACTTTGACAGCTTGAAAGATGCATTTGTAGCATGGTTCCGTCATGTCCTTATGTATTTTGAGAGTCAAGATACTGTAGTGCCGACACCAAAACAAAAAATCATCTTCACCATGTCCTATATGAAGACTGGCTATGCTAGAGAATGGGCAGCCCTGACCTATGACAGCGAGAAGGCCAAATCTGCTTCTCATCGTTGGGATTGGGATATGTTCATCAAGGATCTCAAAGCGGTGTTCTCTCCCATCAACGAATTCCATGATGCACAAGAACGTCTAGCTACATTCACTCAAGGGAAGATGCCCATCGAGGAATTCCTAACTCGTTGGATGCAGATTCTCGTCACAGCTGAGTATTTGAACATAAAAGCCAATACTACTACTGTGGACCATTTTATTAACATCCTTCATACCAACACTCATATCGACATCATTGATTCGGTTGACAAAGAACCAGAGATGTATGGTTGCCGAGATCTTGAGAAGTGGACGCAACGAGTTCTAGTTAAAGGTCGGATTCTTGAACGGCGCCATGCTCGACAGAATGTAGGGGCTAATTGTAAGACCCCCAACCCAACCTACTATCCCTCTCATAAACCCTCAACATCACAATCTAACCCTACATCATCAACCTCTATGGATCGAGCAGATGGCAGTGGAGTGACTTATGGAGGTCGTGGACAACCCATGGACCTGAGCCATCAACGTGCTCGTGAAGGCAATCTTTGCTATCATTGTGGCCAAGCTGGTCATATCACATGAAACTGCAAAAATCATGTTCAAGCTATTCGTCAGATGCTTGACAGTCTTGATGAAGAGGAAAAGAAGGGAGTTGTTGAGAGTTTGGGTTTTTAAAGCGGTCGGAAGGTAGCGCGTCCTTGCCGACCAAACATTCATATTCATCATCACCATTATCCTGTACACCATCACATATGGACAATTCGAATCAATTTTCAGGACTTACTGTTGACAAAATGGATGAAGTGCATGATGAGCTACAGGTTAGAGGTGAAACTCTTAACCTGATGCTCTTGTCTAAGGGAAACGGAAGCCAAAGTTTGAAGGTTTGAAGGACACTTCAAAAGCAAAAGGTGTTCAAGTCACCTGCACCTGAGGTAACAGATGTGAACCCTCTGTCTCAGGTTGCGGTCAATAATCTTTCAAACTCGAAAACTGAGGTGTGTGGAAGCGGTAGATCCACAGGTGAAGTTGCTGTCAGTAACCTGGGGGGACCCCATACAACCCAAGTACCTACAGTTAAATCATGGTCACCTATCTGGTATGCCCAACGTCTATGAGACCAGTCACCCATTCAAGCCATAGTGTTATTATGCATTGTGGTGCACCCAAAGCGTCATCTCAAAGCTACTGATGCAGTGCTCCAGCAATTGAATCAACTGACTATTGAGGAAGCAGCAACGGCTATTCAGGAGATGCATGGTCCCAAACGATACATTCGTGGAGCGGGACAATCATTACTTTTACCTGCTTTGCTGACAACTATCGACGACCATCATTGCATTACCACCCGTGCACTCTTGGATAGTGGTTGTACAGGTTCCTCTATTGATGCTGGTTTTGTTCAGGCACATGGACTCAATACTCATAAACTTGCACGACCTGTCCCTGTATACAATGCAGATGGATCCCTGAACAATGGGGGTTCTATTACTGACTATGTTGTATTGCAATTAGCGATTGGGAACCACGTCGAGTGTATCACTTTCAGGGTAACTAACCTTGGAAGTGGGGATATATTCCTCAGCTTAGAGTGGTTGAAACGCCATGACCCATCCGTTGATTGGCAGGAAGGGACAGTTCAGTTTGACCATTGTCCAAAGGAATGTGGTTATTTGATATCACAATATGAACCTGAGGATGCAGGAGAATTGATTGGTTGTTTGTAGAAAGAGGTTGGGTTTGAACCAGAGGTCAAACTTGAAAACGGGGAAAGGATCTTTGCATTTGATTATGAGGAGTATGTGAAAACCGGTGCAGATCATATTCGAACACACACTACAACCTCACAACATTTGGCTGAAGAAGTGTCTAAGACTAAGGTTCGAAAGTCTTTCAAGGAGATGGTACCTCAGCAATATCATGACTTCGTGGATATTTTCAAAAAGGAGTCATTTGATGAACTCCCTCCACAGAAACCTTGTGATCATGCTATTGAACTAATCCCAGGGGAACATGTGATTGACTGTAAGGTATATAATTTGAGTCCAGAAGAACAACGAGAACTTGACTCCTTCCTCGAAGAGAATCTAAGGTCTGGACAAATCCATAACTCGAAGTCACCTTTTGCCTCTGCATTCTTTTTCATTAAAAAGAAAGACGGGGCTCTTCGGCCAGTACAAGACTATCGAAAGTTGAATGCAATAACGGTCAAGAATCGTTATCCTTTACCTTTGATTCAAGAACTCGTCCAGAAGCTCAAGGGGGCAAAATATTTCACCAAACTTGACATCCGATGGGGGTACAATAATGTGCGCATCAAGGAAGGTGACGAGTGGAAGGCAGCCTTCCATACCAATCAAGGACTGTTTGAACCACTTGTCATGTTCTTCGGGTTGACAAACTCGCCGGCCACATTTCAAACCATGATGAATGATATTTTTCGGGACCTGATTAATGAAGGAAAGGTCATCATATATCTCGACAATATCATGATCTTTACTAAATCCCGAGAAGAACATTGTCAAATCACCCGTCGAGTGCTTGAGATTCTCCGTCAGAACAAGTTATATCTAAAACCCGAGAAGTGTGAATTTGAGGTGACCGAGACTGAATACCTAGGTCTTGTTATCTCAGAAGGTCAAGTCAAAATGGACCCTGTAAAAGTAAAGGACATTTTGGATTGGCCGACCCCAGAAACAAAATGAGAGCTACAAGCTTTCCTGGGGTTCGTAAATTTTTATCGACACTTTATTCAAGGGTACAGAAATTTGGTGAAGCCTCTGACAAGCCTGACAGGAAAAATGGAATGGTCTTGGGGGGAGGAACAGGACCGGGCATTTCGAGACATTAAATACCGAGTTTCATCTGCACCGGTGCTTGCTATCCCTACCGACAACGACCCGTATCGTGTTGAAGCCGACAGTTCTGGTCGAGCTCTAGGTGCTATTTTGTCACAATGTCAATCCAGCACCTGGAAACCTGTTGCGTTCCTGTCAAAAACATTATCTGAGACAGAACGTAATTATGAAATCTACGACCGTGAACTACTTGCCATTATGACTGCCTTAGCAGAGTGGCGACATCATCTTATGGGTGCGGTTCAAGATTTTGAGATCTGGACAGATCATCAGAATCTCGAATACTTTCGGAAGCCGCAAAAACTTAACCGTTGTCAGGCCCGGTGGGTCACGGAACTAGCAAACTATCATTTTTCATTGCACCATAAACCCGGGAAATCTAACCTCAAGGCCAATTTTCTGTTGAGACGAGCAGACCATGAGACTGGGGAGAATGACAATGAGGATGTCACCATATTGAAACCTGAATTCTTCCGCCCAATCGAGCTGATTACCACAGACAACAATTTCCTTGCACGTGCACACCAGAGACACAGCAATTGAGATCGAGTAGTTGACAAGATGCTCCTATCTAATGAAGCAAGTTGGACAGATGAAGAGGACCTTATCCTGTGGAGGGGAAGAGTCTACATCCCCATTGATCATAAACTCTGGGAAGACATCATTCGTGAGCACCATGACTCACGCACCATAGGACATCCGGGACAGTACAGGACACATGAACTTGTCACACGAAAATATTGGTGGCCTCGGATCCTGTCAGACATATGAAAGTATATTGCAGGGTGTGTTACGCACTCAAATAGATCTGTTAGGCGGAGCCCTAAGAGGGGCATCGTCCGCTAATGTTCGTGACATAACCGGAAGGGTCCGGTGTAGTGACTGAGACTGGCGACGTCGAGTCGGCAGATATCAGAGACGCGCATGTCACGTGACTTCTAAGACAGATGTCTTCAAAGTCACTGACATTCTCAAAGTAAGGACTGTCTTGTCCGA